GGCTTGTCAGGTGACATGGACCTCACATGGGCTATTAAAGCTTGGGACTCTTTCTTTGATTGCACATAGCGTCAGCCCTCTTTAGGGTTTGGGTTTGCCTCATGTAATTAAGCCAGTTTGTGACAGTTTGTCTATCACATTTTTTAATCATCTCTGTCCTGTTCAAGCCATTCAGTATTCTACCTGCACGCTTCATTACTGTCACTGGGCTTTGCAATTTTGGCTTTTTTGCAAACTGCATTGTCATGCAGCTAAAGTCCTATGTGATTAGGTTCCAACACAAGACCATAAATAACATATTAGTCTTCTGTTACAAAGGAAACAAAGGTGGTTGTGTTGGAGAAAGGCCAGGTTTGAAAGACCAGTGATGTCTCTTGGCAGAATAAGTCATACACTGTCATTATGTGGCATCTGCGTTGATCCTGTAACACATCAGTCTGAAGCCTTAATACAAAAACATGGATCAGTAATAGACTTTAGCCACTATGTCCAACACCAACAAAATGAAAATGTAGCAACTACATGTTAACTCTCAGCTCCAACGTTATGACACAAAATGTCAAGGTTTGCTGTTAATATCCAATATCAGGTTTCATCCTTATCAATAACACTGAGTCCTCCCTTTAATGTAAAACTTATGTTAGTCTCTCTGTGTCAGTACAAACAATAATGAAGCAAAACTAAAAACATAACAACCATTTTTTGAAATTAAGTTTTTTTTAACAAAAGTTTTCTAAACTATACATGTAAACCCGACCTTTAGAAACCCTGGACCAGGTCAAGAACCAATATTATCATGGGCCTGTAAATACTGGGATAAACAGATACGGTATGACCTTTTTAAAGCATATCTCATGCCTGGTCACCTTAAAATCAAGCAGCAGGTACTTCAAAGAGCTGGGCCTTTTAGTTTTAACTTTAGCTAGTGTTTAATAAAATCCAAAGCAAATGCTTAATTCAAATGTACTTAGTACTTGCAGTCTCTGAAAACGGAACTTACCTGGGTAAAGGTGGGGCTGACGTCAATATTGGCTGAGCCCTCTTCCTCCTTCTCTTTCTCCTTCGAGACATTTGAAGGCTTGGACACCAGGTTGGAGGCGAACATTTCATCGACCGTGTTGCTGACGGATGGCAGGGTGCTCTGAGATCTCTCCCAGCCTGCATTTGTAGATGGGACGCTGATAGGTGGGGGCGGGTTTGGAGAAATGGAGATGGATGCTGGAGTTGCGCTGACAGCGGTGGGGATAGGAGGTGGTGGCGCAGGAGGCTTGGGTGCTCTATGCTTGGTGGACCTAGTGGGAGCTGGAGCATGGTGCTCTGCAGTTTCAGGCTCCTTGGGGCTGACAGAGCTATCCTGTGGGAAAATGTAAAGAAAGCAGCATAGAAGGATAACGTTCAGAGACAAACCTGGCATCAATTTTACATTTTCTTTTCTTTCCTTTTTAAACTGTAGCTTGTTTACATTTGCCATCTGCTTCTACTCGTGGAGGCGTCACTGATGCCAGATATTGCAGTTTCAGGCTAGGTTCTATTTTAAGACAGTCTGATAACACATGTTAAGGCTGGACCTTTCCATCTGTTATTTATCAGAAGCGTTACAGATCATAACAAATGTTTTTGCCTGAGAATTCGGCATCATCCATAACTTTTTTTGAAGAAGTTCCAACCTTCAGATTGTAATCAGTAAATGGGATGTGATGGTATTTTTACGTGCGTACCTGTCGGAGGTAGGATGGGAGAAGTTTCTCTCCTTTCTCTATGGACTTGATTTGGCTGGGGGTCAGGGACTGGAAGTCAGCTTGCTCACCCTCCAGCCTGGACCTCTCAGCACTGATCTTCCAGAAAGATGACTCCTCTTCTGGTCTCCGGCCCTCGCTGACCGACACCTTCCCAACCACACAGAAACAGTTATGCACACAGTCCTGTATTCTTAATATACTGTGAAGCGAGGCTTGTCGGGTAAAATTCCTAAAACCTATTTTAGGAGTTCTACAAAGAGCAAAGGTGAAGGTTTTTCAGAAAGAAATGTAACTGAAAACTTTTTTTGTGGCTACAACAAGCAATTGTTCTCTGAAAGAAAAAATAAATAAATAAATAAAATCACACAATAGTTAGGCATTAACCGTAAGAAGTACCAAAAAATATACAGTTAACATTTATGCCATTTTTACACAAAATTAAACAAACATCACCACATCCACTTTATGCTCGACTACTGCAAAATTTTCACTCATTTTACAGTCCTATTACAACAGCAAACACTTCCCTTCCAAATGTGCATGCTGAATCTCTGCTTCAAACATGAGGCCCCATCGTACCTTTGTTCCTGCTGCACTCTTGCTAATCTGACCGGAATGAGTAACCTTCGCTGCTTTTGAGTCAGACTGGGAGGATGATGAGATCCCCTGGTCTACAGGGCCTGATGTCAAGCTGAAATCCATCTGACTCTGAAAGATGCGAATGACATGTAAGGGAGGATATACTTTATGTATCCAGAAAACATAGACATTCCTGTTAATTTATTTTTACCTTTGTTTCCCATGAAAAAGGGGCAGAATGCTCATCCTGCCAGGTGATATCCTAAACACAGAAACACATGCTGTGATTAGTTTCAGCTTACACAGTCATTGTGCTCACTGCCCGCATTTAAGGGTATTTATACTAGGTTAGGTGGCTAAAGTAACATATGATGTGTGTATTTTCTATAATCTAGCACCAACAAATACCTTGTCTATTGTAAGACTTCCTTTTGATACACTGGTTTATCGGTTAAAAGGCAACAACTGATACTTCCTACCTGCCAGTTTTTCTTTATAGGAGTTAAACACTTGTCAAAATCTGCTCATAGCAGCCTTGATATCATTTAAAAAAAAGTGTTGCTGTGAACTGATGTGTATGTTTTGATGCTTACTATTATAACACAGTAAATATGTTATTAGTTACAAGTATTTAAAGCCCATAAAAGGCGAACTGTCTTTGCAAACTCTACTTTTTTTCTGCATTTATCTTTTACAAATCAACGATTACATTAATAATGAAACTCGCATAAATACAGTGGCTCTTACCATATATAAAAATAAAGCCAATGTCATTTTAAACCCTTTAAAATATACAATGTTTCACTGTTAAATATTTCTATTCATTATACAATGACACAACACCATATTTGTCGCCAGCCGTCTCGCCACAGTGACGTTTACCAACATATTTTCGAGGCTACGTGGCTCTCGTTAGCAGGCTTTTCTTGTTAGCGTGCTATACTCGCCCTAAAACACACCTTAAACACACAAAATCCAAACTCTAATGTCTTTTAAGTACCTCTTCTCCGAAGTGAACTATCTTCTGACCCGTTTGAATGAGCATTTTAGGGTAACAGACCACTTCTTCACGCTCAACTCTGTGCATAGCGTATCGGGCTCGGATATGAGGATCCATCATCCAGTTGTCGATGGCGTTGTCCTGCTCTTGCGGCGTCATTTTCTCCCAGGACGAGCCGTGCTTGGCTTTGATTTTCTCCCTCTCCTGCATTATTTTCTTTGCCATGGAGTTGATGGAGGAGAAGTACTCCAACTTCTTTTCCTCCATCCTGTGGGCATCGAGCCCCGCCACGGTTGCGGCGGCCATCTTTAACTGGGGCCAGCTGTTGTTATTGTGAGAAAGAGGAAGCCGGTACTCGTCGCTGAGTGGGCGTCACCATAAAATCCATACGGCACCACTGCTCAGATTTAAGGGCTAATGGCGCCATCTAGTGTTCTAGTGTACGTGTATTTGTGTATTTGTGACCGGCTGATCCATATATATATATATATATATATATATTGGGTTGCCAGCCATACATACAGGGCCAATACATACATAAGAGCTTTGTAAATTACTAGCTATATTAAAATGATAAACAGGGATTAGCATAACATAGCATAAAGGCACAGGTTGCACTGGATAACATAAAGAGGAAGATATAAAGAATATTCGTGGACAGGGTAGTCAACTTACCTCATTGTGAAAAATGTTTAATTCTTATAAAACAAGCTGTATGGTGATTTTGATTGAGGATTGCCTAGGTAACACAGTGATATTTTTCACCCGTGGTTCTCTTTTATGTGGCTCACATAAAATAACACAGTAAGAACACACAGCAAGACTTATCTAAGTAGTCCTTTTTCTAGTCCACCTCATTTCAACACAGTAGGCCCACAGCAACCACTCTCATTATTAAGAAGGCCTATGTAAGTATAATTGGATTCTTTGAGCACTTTTCTTTTCCTGCATCCTTATGAATTCTGCTTCATGTCTTTCCTCAACCTCATGATGTTTTCCAGTGAGTTCAAGTTGCTTTGGGGGCTATTCAAATGCTTCAAGTGTCCATTAAACCTGTTGTGTGTTGTTGACCACTTGGGGGCAGTGGGAACAAGCTTTAAAAGCTGGGCTTTATAAATTGTAACTTTATAACTTTTTAATTTCCTTTATCTATTTACCCATCTTATTTTCCACATACTGCTTATTGTTACTCTTATTTGCCCTGTATGTCTACTGTACAAACTGAACTGGAATGACTGACTGTTAACTTTATAATTTCAAATAAAGTAAATAATAATAATTTTTTTAAAAGTTGTGGCAAAAATGTCAGGAAAAAGCTGTTTCTTTACTCCTTTAGCTGCTATGCATTGATTTTAAGAACTGCAAAGTTAAATCATGTGCACGCTTTATTCATCTAATCCATATGGACAAATAAAGAACCCCAGAGCTGCAACAGTCATTTGCATCCTCTTTGTAAAGTAAGAGAACTGCATAATCACATACTACTTTTAATTTGATCTAATAGTCTACATCTGAGTATTGGTATTTATTTCACCTCACAGATCTGAAATTTGTCTTTGATGTTTTACTTCTTCTTAGTGAGTCATTTATAATAAATCAAAGGAAAAAGTTTCCAAGACAAAGATAAATTAAACATAAACAGAATTTTAAAACAAAATTCAAAACATAAAAAAATATTTTTTCTCAATAATATTTATTAAGATTACATGAGGTACAAAGACAAGCTACATGAAGTCACATATATTAATATATAAACATCAAAGCAAACCATTTTAAATGACATAAATGTACATTTCCAAAACATCCATGTCTGTAAAATCATCAGTACATCAGAGAAACAAAGAAAAAAGACATTTGTAAAGCAAAGTAGTGCTAACAGTCATACCTTCTTAGCGTTACAAAATGGCTTTTAGTGAATGCAAACTGCAGCAGTTAAAAGATATCAGCAATGGGTTCAGAAATCTAGTCTCCAGATATTTAGCCCACGTAGTCACAGGCCACACACCAGACTTTTCAACTAATACCAAAACATGCACCTGTAATATTATGTACAAAACCAAAAGTAAGTTAAAAAGAGACAAAAACAATTTACTCCAGTGACAATATACCAAACATCAGATTGTTTTAGATGTTTCAGATGTGTGAGTTTATTGCATGAATTTTAAGCATTTAAAATAAATAGCTGTGAAAGATGTTTGTTTTCCTTTTTACAAATGTGTAAGCCTCTTTGTTATTTGCCCTAGTTAACTGTTCAAATACTGCACATTGGATCAAAGCCGCACTTCTCAGGCTGTGCTGTGACTGACATCATTGAGGCTAAGTTTCTGATTTTTCAACATGGTGTCACTGGTGAAACGGGGGTGAAGGGGAATGGCGGTCATCGGCACTGTTTTGGCCTTTCGTCTGGATGAGCGACAACACAGCAGGTAGAAGATCTCAACCACGTTGAGCACAAGCGACAGGCAGGATGCTACCATCATGAACATGATGAAGATGGTCTTCTCAGTGGGTCGAGACATGTAGCACTCAACAGTGTAGGGACATGGGGCTCGGGAGCATTCAATTAGTGGGTCCATGACGAACCCGTACAGATAATACTGCCCCACAATAAATGCTATCTCTAGGAGGATCCTGAACACTATGGAGACCATGTAGTTTCCCAGCAGATTACCTTTAATCTGCACCTTTCCTTTCTCGTTTGTATACTTTGGAGCTTTTGTTATTTCACTGCTAGAGTGGGTCTGTATATATTCTCTCAGCTTTTTCTCTTTGTGGATGACATGCATGACATGACCGAGGTAGATCAGTGTCGGTGTTGAGACGAAGATGATCTGCAGGACCCAGAATCGTATATGTGAGATTGGGAAGGCGTGGTCATAGCACACGTTCTTGCAACCAGGCTGTTTGGTGTTACAAACCATCTTGGACTGTTCATCACCCCAAACCTGTAATGTTCAGATGGCAGTGTTTATTATTATTTAAAAAAAAAATTAAATTAAGGTATTACATTTAGTCACACAGCAGCACAAATCCTATAAACTGAAACTGCAAAATCAATGTCCTAACATATAGTAAGCAAGCTGATTGAACTTAACTTTCATACTAGTTTTATAAATGAACTCGTTTTACAGAGTTATCTGTGCTTTTTTAATTGAATAACTGGTACACTTGATTTGCCTGAGTATGAACAGTGCAGACTGGTAGATGCAAAGAGTCACAGACCTGGTACAACTTAGGTTAAAATAATTGATTTGGAAATTTTCTTAGCTTAACCAAATTTTCTAAGTGCATTTAACTTGTTCAGTATGCATATGTACATATAAACTATAATATATTTAACAATTATGAAGTTAATTTGAATTATTCTCATCTTAACTATTGAAATAATCAAATTATTGCAGACCTCTGCCTTGCGTTTACACTTTTAAGACAACAAACCAAAAATATATTGTATATTTTACATATTTTGTAAAGTATTACTCTTTACAATGACCAGGCTATAAAATAGAGTTAGGTTATATATCTATAGTAAGATCAACTTTAATAATAAAACTTCAATGTACCAAACCAGTGTTTTTTCACTGTCATCCACTGGTTGTGAAGAAAATTTACTGCTATCAAAGCATTATTTGAATTTTAGTTTCAACGCTGTTTTTATGTGGACTTTTGTTATACCCACCAGAGGGTGTTTGTTTGTTTGTTTGTTTTTAATCTGAAAGGCCAAAACTCACAAAAGTACCTAAGGCATGTGAGTTGTGTATAATTCTTTCCCCCAAAAGATGAAAAAGTAAAAGCTGACCTTCTCTGCTCCAGCTCCAAGGATCATGATCCTGAAGATGAAAAGCACGCTGAGCCAGACCTTCCCGATGACCGTGGAGTGGGACTGGACCTTATTCAGCAGCGAAGACAGAAATCCCCACTCACCCATGGTTTCTGAAAACAAATAAAGATCCTTAATGAATGATAAGATGTGAATAAACTCAAAGTTTCATCAAATCTAGCTTTCGGCAGACCATTTAGAGAATAAATGTTTGCTGAGGAGATCATAGTTTGTTTATTTAGCTGTTGCATATACAGTACACTATATTCAAATTATATCTAACTGAGACAAAACCCTAAATTAAACTTAAATTTTAGAGTCAAATGACTAAACTGGCCTCAAATTTTGAGTCTTTCAAACTTATAAATTGAAGTATTTTATTATTTAAATTATTAACTTGTAGTTTGTTATAATCAATCAATGGAAATGGTTAAACATCACCAGTAGCAGCAGAAAGTCTGCCCTGCTTCTAAGACAATCACATGTACTATAATCCCCAGTGACTGTTTAGAGGTTAAAGTAGGAGCTGTGGAATAAATATATTTGATTGGATTTTAAACAAGAATGTACAAGCAACGGATGTTTGTATATGGCTTTCACTATGTTTTTATCGTATGAAAGAAAAGCCCTTTAGTGCACTAACAGCGTAATAACTGCATATCATTGATTTATCCAATCTGAGAAAATACAGATGTTTACTGTCACAGATTATGTATAGTGTGTCATTTTGTCTCACTAACATACACTCCCTAATAATAATCAGTGCTCATCAGTCAACACATGACAAGATGCATCTTAAGATACCTTAATAATGAGATCATGACATTATTTGAATCTTATTCCAATATATTTATTAAAAGTTTAGCCTGTTTACAGTTTATAATTAGAAATAAATGCCTTGTAAATGAGGAGGATTTTTAAATAAGTCATTCTGTAGCTTACCTTTGAGTTTAACAGCTCTTCTTGCAGACAAGCGAATCAGTCACCAGTTGTAGAGCTGAATGGCAGCGAGCGTACCAAACCAGACTTGTCTATGATACCTTGAACTTTAGATTAGATGGAGTTGTGCAAGCGTGTGAGCTGTCACGTTGTCATGACATCTGGAAATGAGAAATCTCATGTAGACAAAATTGGGCTGAACATGGAAAATGTTAATGATTGCCAAACTTTTAACCGATTGTACTTGATTTTTTTCCCCTCTGCATTGGTTTCATAGGATGATACAGTGGTAGTTATCACTGTATGATAAGCTTCTTTAACATTTTGAATTCAACGACATTTGTCAGTTATGCATTTTTAGTCAAACAGTAACAGAGTCAATGACTAAACAGCATAAACAGATTACAATGAACATGAACGTTCAGTCAAGCAGTGACGCTGCTGCATGTTCGTTTTGTCATTAAAAAATGCTGAAAGTCCGAACAAACTGAGTAAATTTAGTATTATAAGCTTCACAAAGACTGAGATATTGAACTGAAATATGCTGAGCTGATATATTTGATCTATAATGTCCCACTTTCTTTCATTTTTTTCTTTATATTTTTATTTTATGTAGATGTTCTCATTGTCTTTAGATAAACTTTGAAAGAATAGCCGGATCGATTACCAGTCAACCTAACAGCCGCACCCCATTCTGAAGAAATACCAGATTATAGATGAAAAGATTTGTCAGTCGCCACATGATTCATATGTAACAACCTTGTATTAAACAATTATTTACATAAGTTTAGCTAAATGTAAAATTATTGCATTTCAAAATATGTTAAACAAAACTATCAGCTATTATTACTATTATCAGCTCTGTGAGGCTTTGACTGTTGTTATTTGCCAGTTTCTACACACTGTCACTTCAACTAATGCCACTTAAATGCTCATTGCACTAGTTTTGCACAAACTGTAAATACTACTTGTCTTAAATTCTCTAGATTTTGAATACTTTTTTCTCTTTTTTTCTCTTTATCATTATTATTACCGCTATTTTCTGTTATTTTCTTCTTAATTTAACTGCACACTTCTATACGCTCATGTAAAGCTGAGGAGCACAAGCCAAAAATTCATTATGGGTAAATGTGGCTACACTGTTTATCTGTACATGACAATAAAACTTGAAACTAGAAAAACTAAAACTAAAGAACTAATGAATGATGAAAGTAATTATTAGTTGTAGATATAAAGTCACACAAAATGTGTGTAAATCATGGTTTTTCAAAATAAGGGCTTATGAACTGAAAAGTGTGAACATCTAAAGACAAGAGACTGATAGAAGCAATGTTTCTTCAAGTTCAAGTCATTTATTTCAAACAAATAAGCATACAAAAAAGCTGCTTACACGTAACAAACAACATCATTTTTATCTTCCAGTAGGTAAATCAACTCATAGAAAATGAACAAGACAATAACTTAGAGAACATGACCGGGCATACAGACAGTTTTTCTCATTAAACCATTGCAATTTTTTTTATGTTGTCAGCAGAATACTGATGGCAGGATTACTAGTAGGTTACTGTTCAGTTGACAGTTTTCCTGCTATAATCTACTTTACACTAAATTGCTGTATTTGATGATTTGCAGTATAGAACTGGCAGCTAAAGTTTGCTCGTATAATATAAATATGTTGGTATTGCACCTTTTAGTAATAGATTTTCAGGCATATACAAAGAAATGGAAGCAAATGCCAGAAGAATATATAAGTAAAAATACAACAATGTATTCTGTGAAGACTTTGACAAAGCTTTTCTATTGTCTTTCAGTCCCTTGGATGTATCTGAATGCAGACACCGAGCAAGATAATACATTTTAATTGTCACAGACGTGGTTTTTAATGACCGCTCAGGAGTCGTTTCTCATCCTTGGCCCCATCCAAGCTCCCTGCAACACTGTGGCTGGCTTCAAGATCTGCATTCATCCT